TCCGACTCGTCGTCGGCGTCGCTGTCGCACGAAGTCTCGCGCCGAAGCGCTGAGGAACGAGTCGAGCGGCCGGCGGCGGGAGGGTGCGAGCTCGGCGGCTCCTGTTCGCGAGACGCTGCTGCTGGCTTCGTGCGCCGCGAGGGCTTGGCCTGCTTGCTCTTCGCTTTGGAGCGCGGCTGCTTCGTGTTCGCAGCCTCGCTGATCTTCATGAACTGCGAGTGGTTCGATTCGACACGCTTACGTTTGCCAGAGAGTACCGTCGAGCATGGACCTCCGTGGCCGAGAGGCAGGTTGCAGTGCAGTGTCTTGCACGAGGGGACCCTAGACGACATGGCTGGCGGGTGGGTCCCTAGACGACTTGGCTGGCGGGGTTGGGCGCGAGAGCGCCCCAGCACCACCGACCACCAGAGCGCGCGTCAATCGCGTCAAAGAATTTAAACAAGAAATTCGCACCCTACACGCCTACACACACCTACACACTCAATCTGTTGGACCGACCCACACCGAGTATGACGGTGTGGCCGTGTGGGTCTGCGCCCCCGGCCGCCAGCCATCCCCGATGAAGCACTTTGGGCAGCACCAGGGGAAGCTCTTGTGCTTGAAGGACGGCTCCGGCCCTCGCTGCTCCCCAAGGCACGCAGGCGTGTCGTGGTAGATGCCGGCCTTGCAAAACGAGCAAGCGCGAAGTTCGCCTGCAGCCGACTTGCACTTGGCGCACTTGGCGCCGGCTGTGGCCGACCGCGCGGTGGTAGTCGCGGCCTCTAAAAGCTTGAGCGAGCCGGTGGCGATGAAGGCGCCGAGGGCGAACGGCGAGGGCTCGGTGAGCGCGGCAACGCCGCGCAGTTGGAGGTAGTACGGCTCGAACATCAGTCGCGCACCAGCGATGCCAAACGGCGTCCGCTTCTCCACCATGGCAACCAGAAGCGCGCAATCAAAGCAGATGTTGGCGGAGTCGAGCTTCTGGATGAAGGGCTCGAGGAAGAGGTGCTGCGTCGCGCAGGCCGGGTGCACCATCTTTGCGCACACGAAGCACTGGCTGGTCTCGACATCGGCGCGGTCCGCCACCTTGCAGCATGTCGCATAGCAGCACGCAGGCGAAGCTGTTGGCCCGGAGAAGGCGTCGCGAGAAGGCATCGCCGCCACCCGCCGCTCAAACTTGACCACCTCCTCCTTCGCGTTGGACAGGTTCTCGGGCGGCTCCCACGTCATGTCCGGAGTTTGGTCCCACTCGTCCCACTTGACTGCATATTGCACAACGATGCCCTTGCGCGCCACGCGAGCCTCCCTCTTGGCGAGGACCAGCTCGACCGTGTACTGGTACTCGTCCTCCTGTGCGGCGGGGACGGTGGGGTGACGGCGTACGAGAGGGGGAGGGAGGGGGAGTCCGGATCACCTCCTCGCTGCTCGCCTCCTCGCCATCCGCCTCGGTCTCCGCCTCGCTATCCCCCGCCTCGCTCTCCTCCGCCTCGCTCTCCTCGGAGGAGTCTGGCCACGCAGCCCGGCGATCGACGGCGGGCGCGTCGCCGCAAGTCTTTGTTCTATGTTCACGCCGAAAAGTACGTGTGTACGTCTAACGCTCCCGCTAGCTGGGGCACGCTCCCAGGCGGCTGGGGGCCGCTCCCCAGCTCGATTAGAGGGCGCTTTTCACGCGATTTTACGGAATTACGGATTGGAGGGGGGTGGCGGCACATAGGGGGAGGGGGAGACGCCGATCTAGGAATCAAGTTGGTGCCGGATGGCCTCCTCCGGGTCTGCAACTCGCACGGCGGGTCCGCGTCCGGGCAAGCATCCGCGGCCCGCGGTTGTCCTTTCGCAGGGCGCGACCGACATGGAGATCTGCTGCCCACAGATCAGTGCTTTTGTCAACTATTGCTCGCCCTCTGTGCACTCGCAACGCCAGAGGCCGTGCTTGGAGAATGCGTCGCAATGCTGCTGCGCCTGTGGATTGAGCCGCGGCACAAGCTCCATCGTTGAGCTGCGGTGGCGCGCCGGCTGCTTCATGCATAGGGCATAGCTCTCCGGCGAGCGGCCGCGAACGCGTTTTCCGTCCGCCGTTTCATCGAGTTGCCCGAGTGGTAAACCATCGTGGACGGTGACGGTGACGAGCTGGAGCTGGAGATCCCCGAGGGGGTG